CCCGTGTTGGCTAGAGGGCGTCTTGAAAAGTGCATTTTTTGTCCATCTTCAAAACACACTGACGAATTACCTGAAACTAGTTGTCTGCGACCTCTCCGCTCCGCGGTCTGTGTACGTGCGAACTGAAGAGAGACGCTATCGTGATTTGAATTAAGCAAATGAGGCCGATATAGTTGATTTCTTCGAAGTGGCCATCAATCAATTTCTTGTGTTTTCCGAGACGAACATGGAGTCGGTAGATAAGCTTTCGCTTTTTTTTTTTTTCTCTCAAATAAGTCGTTGTTACATGTGTCGACAAGTTCGTCCCTGAGAGGTCAGTTAAAAAAAAAGAAACATAATCTGTGAATGCCGCGAGAAATTTGATATCCAAAGCGAAAGATAAATCGAATAAAATATATTCTATATAAGTTCAGATACTTTGCTTCCTTCTCTCCGACATCAATAACGTGCCCTGGTACGCCATATCCAAATATAATTACTTTAATATCAAAATGTCCAGCTTCCTCAAAAAAAAATCAAAAACTTTTGGGCGCCTTTCACAAAGAGTGTAACAAGTGAAGAGACTATTCATAACGGGCTGACGCTTGTCGATGAGTCGATGAACAGTGCATCGCTACAGAGTTTAATAATCTCTTCTCATCTGTGTACACACTTGATAACTCTGTCTTGCGATCAATTCCGTATAACAGTTACAGAATCAGCGACTTGGTACTCCCTAAAAAAGTTATCTTCGACAGCCTTCTACGGTTAGACATTAGAGAGTCGTGTGGACAGGATGGAATTCCCAACGCTTTCCTTAAAAAGTACGCCGAATGGTGTTCCAAGTTCCTTTGTTTTTTATTCTTGCAATAAAACTTTAGTCGGGGCTAGTTGGTTCATATTGATTAAGAGGTTAAAAGGCGCGAAAAAACAGGACGAAAAAAGACACACGTTTGTGTCGTACGTGTCTTTTTTTTTGTCCTGTTTATTCGCTCTTTTTATCCTTTTAATCGTTATTCTTGCAGTTTGAGAACGGGTCAGGTGCCACAGGATTGGAAAGTAGCCAAAGTAGTAACTATATAAATATATATATATATATATATATATATATATATATATATATATATATATATATATAGGTACTACTTTGGCAACTTTCCAATCCTGTGGCATATATATATATATATATATATATATATAATGAATAAAATGAAAGGAATAAGTGAATATATATATATATATATATATATATATATATATATATATATATATATATTCACTCATTCCCATTATATATGCCGTGCAGCCTGTCCCTATGGGGAGGAGTGGTTCCCTGGATGTCTTGGAAGACCGGCCCTTTCCGACATTTGCAAGCTGAGATGACGTGCCATGTACTGCCGCATGTCGGAAATAGCGCGGGTCTTAAATCAGCAACGGTTGTCGTCTACCAAGTTCAACGAATTCGAAACTGAACAGTACACAGAGCTGGTCAGAAATTGAGTCCGCCGAAACGAGTGGCCGGGATGGTCTACTCGGTTAAGGCGTCGCCCTGGACAGGCGAAGGTTGCGGATTCAATCCCCGCTCCTGGCCCAATTTTTCGCCAGCTCTCTCTCCATTTCCCTTTCCCTAACTTTAATGCAATAAATTCAATAATCACCTTCTCCCCTCTCCGTTCACAATATTACTACGGCTGCACTTGTCAATCTTCACATAGCTTTTTCAAAAATGGACCTGTATCGTTGTTGAGTACATGTACTGAGGTTCTTGAACATTTCGTTTTCAAGCACATCATAACTTTCTAAAATCCCCATCGTTCCTAATAGATGAACAACACGGGTTTCATAGAAGGTGCTCGACTGTGACACCAACTTCTTCACACGGTTCATAATTTTGGTACTGTAATCGGTAATGATGGTAAAGTTGATGTTATTTTCTTAGATTTCGCAAAGACATTCGACAGGGTTTCGCATCGCAAGTTACTACATAAGCTAAAGCCGGTACCAGTTAATAACAACCTCTTGCCATGGTTAGACTCTTACCTTACCAACCGTAAACAGTTCGTGTCTGTGGGCAATGCAGAGTTCAGTGAATTACCTGTGCTATTTGGAGTGTCCCAGGAAGCGGTACTTTGTACATTGCTTTTCTAATTTTTATCAACGATCTGATGGTTGATAAACCATCGATAAAGTGTTTTTTTTTTTTTGTGCAGATGAGTGTATATTGTTTTTCAAAATAGATTGCGTTCCTGACCAAACAAGTTTAAATGATAGCCTTAAAATTATTTCTTTGTGCTGTCAAAAATGGCAAATGGACTTGAACGTTAATAAATGTGTGTAAATGACACTAACGCTGAAGAAGGTACCGCTTTGACTTAAAACGAAAGAAACACACAAGAGGACAAAACAGACGACACAGCTTTCGACTTGCAATTACAGAAGTACCGCTTTTTTTCCCCTATACTGTCAACTCCAATGCGTTGGCAGTGGACCACGACTACAAGTATATGGTGTCACAATTACCTCTAACTTAAGCTGGTCCCTTCACATTGGGTAGGTTGTTGCCAAAGCGTCTAGAAAGCTGTGGTCACTGCGGAAGACTATGATTCACTGCACTCTCAAACGAAGCTAACAGCGAATAAAACTCTAATTCGTCCTTTACTCGAATATGCTGACCGATTATGGGACCCGCATTCATAATCGTATATAAACCAGTTGGAGGGGGTTCAAAGAAAGTCTCTTAGATTCATTTATAATTTATATGGCCAAGAATCACAAGTTTCACCGTTGTACACTGCGTCTGGACTGCCTGAGTTGTCATGTCGAATAGTAAATCGCCTAAAATTTTTACACCACATTATACATGACAGAACTCGTTTGAACTTTGACGCCTATCTCCAGTTTAACTTGAGCCGCGATACCAGACGGAAGCACGAGAAACTAATTCGCAAGTCTCGTTGCAGGAATTCTTTTTTTCGCTCACTGTTTGTGAGTAGAACGAGTTGCCCCGCAGCGTGATGGACATTCTTTCCTTCGTTTCATTCTCTAGTACCATTGACGAACTTTTCTTTATTTGAATCAACTGTACGGACTAGGTAGCTTACGTATTTTACCGTATGTTTATAACTACTCATTTGTTTTGCTGGCCTTTCTTTCTTTCGTCCACTCATACTTTGGCCCTCAAAAGGTGGCCGGCAGTATCTTTGAAATAAATAAATAAATAATTTTTCTGCAATATTTCTCATGGGTGCGACAGAAAATTTGTCAACTCCCAATGTGGCTGCAAATAGGGAATGAACGAACTGGACAAATTTGCCCGATCTTCTTCGGAGAATCGACATCCAGATCTAACACACTGCAAGAATGTATCTCTTTTGCTATGTTATTTTTTGTGTTTACTGAGATAGCTAGCGTAGAATACACCACAGACGCTGTAAGTCGCCGCCATGCCTGAAGACATTCTGTAAAAACGCCATTATACGGGACTGGCAGCCACCTCGTCTGCTTATGAGCGCAGCGCGCGTGCTGTCTTTTCTTACGATCACAAGGCTCCGCGACCACCTGACAGCATGGCAGGAGAGAGAAAGAAGGAAAGATAATCTACCGGTAAATCGCTGAAATGCTCGCATCCCAACAACAAAAATGCCGAGCCAGCTGGTGAAGCAACAAAACATGTTTGTTCATGAAAAACAAAGGCAATATACAAATGCACAATGTAGCCAACCTAATTTGGCATAAAAAAGTCCCACGACACCCTGGAATCGTACCCCAACCAAGCGGATCACGTGAGAAACGATGCGAAGGTACTGAGCCGCAAACCGCCAGACCAAAACCGGAACTAACCAACAACCCTTGTCCGATGTGAGATACGGTCACAATGGCGGCATTCTCTCTTCTGCTTCTCGCGGACGGCGTGCTCTCATAGACGAAAAACAGTTATTCACTTCTAACCTTTTATTTTGGTAATGGTAAGTGTTGAAACTTTGGCATCTTGCTCGAACGGCGGGGCGACGTTTTCATGGATTTTGAGCTCTCCGCAATGCCTAGTTTATTTTTGCGGTGCGAAAAACAGAGTTTGGTGTTCTCGCGGGCACCCTCTACATTCGGTGAACGTTTGAGCCTCCTGTCGTTTTCCAGCGGAAGGTCCGCTTGGGGCCATCCTACACTAGTCCTTGTCCTTTACCGTTGTTTTTATTTCAATATTTGCTAGCCAACATAGCCAATGGCAGAATAAGGGCGGCAGGGAGTGTCTTTTGAACGTAATGATTAAACTTCTTCTTTTGAACGCCCTGCCTTCAGCACGCGCTTCATGGCTTCCGCCATGATTTCACGAAGTGTTGTCGAAAGTGTAAAGATCGCGCTGGAGCAACGCCTCCTATAATAATCAAAGCCTGTGAACAGACTCTTCTACGTCCACATAACGTTTTCCCAGTCAGAGGGCAACAACTCAGCAACTGGGATTGAGCTGGACGCCAAGTGTCATCCAAAGCATTGATTGGACACGACTGTCAACCGAACGCTGAAGCAGCACTTGTGTCCAATCCGTGTCTGCGCTTGATCCCACTCTGGTGACGTACGTCAAAATGACTGGCCTTGATTATTCTAGGTGGTGTTGGCTTGAAGCGGGACAACTGAAACTCCCCCCTGCCTCTCTCACCCCGTCACTGACATGCAGAGAGCAGGTCGTCTGCTTTTTTTTTTCGCAGGAGTTTCGTTGGCGTCAGAACGACGCCGAGCTGTGACTGGCTTTCATTGAAAGGATAGCGGGTAGACCTGAATGCTAGGGGCCTTGAGGGTCTACCAACTCTGTTTTTTTCCTGTTTAATCAGCCAATAAGAGCTCGGCGTTCCGTCCTCATCGCATACCCTGTGCATTAAGCAGACGAACCTCCGCTCCGCATAGCCCACCGGTTGATTTTTATTAACACCCAGAGCGATAATTTGAAATGTACAAAAACTGATTCATCTAGCGAGAGAAAAAAAGTTTATACTAAAAAATTATGTTTTTTTCTTGTGTGTGTGCAGTATCTCCGGATGCGGTACGGTGCGAAAACTGGGCTCACTGCTTGCGGCATTTGCTTCATCTTGATGGTAAGCCACCTCTTGACGAAATGAAGTCGAATTAAAACGTTTCTCTCATCCAGACGGTGGAGAAAGAGTGTCACGATGTACCCGAGGCTCGTGTGGTGTATTAACCTATATGCACTCACTTTTTGTTTTTAATCTGTAAAGCGGTGTAGTTTGGAAAGTCATGTTGGAATCCTCGTGAAGTACTATGCGAAGAGCGAGTTCGTATGCTTCTTTTGCAGGGGTTGTGGTGACGTCAGAACGCCAAGCTCTGATTGGTTCTGAATGAAGGATAGTGGGTAGACCTCAAGGCAGCTTGCTTTGAGGTCTACTCCACTATCCTTCAATAATAGCCAATCAGAGGTAGGTGTCCTTGTGACGTCACCGCAAGTCCTGTGCAAGAAGCAGACGACTTGCTCTCCGCATCGGAAGCGTGCAATGGCGGTACGTGGACCGCTATCAGAGCACGACCATCGCGGGCAGAGTCTCATGAGTAACTGCTTTATTCGGGCAGAACACAGAAGAGGAAAAGAAAGAAGATGTATTGAAGAATAACGCGATAGATCGGACAACACAAAGAAGAAGAGGTGAAAGATAAACACAGTAGGACACAACATTTCTCCCCTCCCCGGAACAAACCTACACCAATAATAAAAAAAAACAATCAAAGCACTCCTCACTGTTACATTACACTCTACATATACATACTCTATCTGCACAATGAATGAGCGTTACCACACAATGCATTCGTTATTCTATTCAAGCTACACTTGGCTAAGGCTACCCATTTTAAGCATTCATACTAAAGATGCACTCTTCCCAAACAAACCAGGTAATTTAAACGTTTAAACTAAAAAAAAATCCGTCTCCAGGTTGGTCACTTCCACCTGAAACACAGAACTGCGAGTTACTAACTCCAGTCTCCAAATCGCTCTGGAGGTCGACGGTTTCGTTTGGATCGGCGAGGAGCATCCCCTTGCAAAGCTTGATCGGATCCACTCCGACCATCTCGGGACGCCACGTCTTCATTCAACAAAGGTTCCTGGCAAACTGGGAAAGGAGGAGGTGTTTGCGGTAGTAACGCCACGCCTTCATTTAACTCAGGTTCCTGGTAAACTGGGAAAGCAGGGGGTGTTGGCGGTCGTAACTGCTGCTGTTGTTGCTGAGCATCCTCCCTGAATGTGGGCGCTTGCCACTTGTGATGAGGATGACGCTTCGTTGAACTGCCCCTCGTAGTACTGCTTGCAGGTGCCTCGTTAAATGATGTTGTCACTGCCTGTGGAAACTTGTTGCCGATACGTTCCTTAGGGGGAGCCGCCACCGTAAGCTTGGAGGCGTTCCAGATGCGTCCATCATGAAGCTTGTAGGTCCATCGACCCACGCGCCTAACAATTTTCATTGGAGGTCCAAAAGCCACTTCTCCCTTCCTCACTTTACCTGGTTTTCTGACACGCACCCATCCGCCGACCAGAAAATTCGGGATTTTCGCCCCTCGCCATAGGTCTCTATATATCGCTTGCTGCTCTCCTGCCCCCTCTGGACTCGACACCGCAGGCGTTGTAACTCCTCCAGTGGATTTTGCAGGAATTGCGATGGTGACAGGCCGACTATGCGTAGCCGGTTGCGTGGTTTACGTTCATTCAGCAGGAGTGCAAGAGACAATCCTGTCGTGGCATGAGGCGTACAGCGATACACGTGCAAGTAATCCAAGACGGCAGAGTGGATCGGTCGCTTCTCCAGGGAAGCACACTGTACGAACGACTTAAAAGTGCGATTAAAGCGTTCAACTTGTCCGTTGGCCTGTGGATAGTACATGGATACAGGATGATGGTTTATACCTCGCGTAGCTAGGAAGTTCTTAAAGTCTACGGAGGTGAACTGGGGTCCGTTATCCGAAACAGTACTTTCGGGGTAGCCTTCCCGAGACAAGATGAGACGCAGGAACACCGTCACTGTGCTTGTCGTGGCGTTTGAACAAAAGTCAACTTCCGGTCATTTTGAAAAAATAGTACACTAGTGTGATCGCGTACCGATACGCTGGCGGTGAAGTTTCAAATGGCCCAACAATGTCGATGCCAAGTTTCGACCATGGTCGCTCAGGGAGAGGCACATATTGGAGATGTGTTGGCGATATCTTCGCACTTTTGTCAGAAGACCCGCAAACGCCACAAGCCTGGACCTCTGTTTTCACCTCCGCATTCATGCGGGGCCACCAGTAGAGCTCTCGGAGTCGGGACGAAGTCCTGCCAATACCAGGGTGGCCCTCGTGCGCTCGGCCATGAGGGTTCGTTATTCCCTCATGCTAGATTGAATAACGAACTGATCGCATGTAACAAAAGACCATCGAGTACAGAAAGTGTTTCCTTGGTGTCGTGAAAGATAGCTTCATCGGGAGCCAACGCCCGCCGTGGTGGCCACTCCGAGGTGACATAGGACATTACGGCGGTTAAATTGGAGTCGTCAGTCGTCTCTTGTTGAGGTTGCTTCTTCGATATGCACTCATCATCCAGAGCGATGAAAGACACAATTTTTTCATCAAACGCTGTTCCTTATTCGTCTTCTGCTACCGGAAGTCTGGAGAGAGCATCGGCTACTTGTACTTGAGAAGCCGGGTAGACCACCGAGTGATACGGAGTGGTCGATGTCCGGTCCCTCTCGTGGCCAAGAGAGCAATGAGAGCCTAATGGTCCGCGTGTAGGGTGAAGTGGCGACCCCACAGGTATCTGTTCTACTTTTGACAGGTCCACAAACACGCAAGCGTTTCTCGCTCGCCCGCAGAATACTTCCTTTCAGTAGCAGTAAGCGTTCGTGACGCAAATGCTACCGGGTGAATTTCCTGTCCGCATCGCTGCTGCAACACTGTGCCAATACCGTAAGCTGAAGCATCCGTAGTCACGATGATAGGCAACGCAGGATCAAACATCTTCAACGTTTGTGCAGAGGACAACAGCACTTTCACCCTCTGGAAACTTCAATCTGCTGCCTGGTCCCAGATGAACGGGATGTCCTTGCGCAAGTACTTTCGCAGCGATTCTACTTCAGAAGCCAAGCACGGGACAAAACGAGAATAATATTCGACCATTCGTAAGAAGAACCGTAGCTGAGTCAGGTAGTTGGAGTCGGTGCCGCACGAAGAGCGTCGACCTTCTTCTGAAGGGGTAAAATCCCCCAGCACTAACTTTGTGCCCCAGGAAACAAATTTCTGTGACGTCAAACACACATTTGTTGTTGAGCTTCAGACATGCTCCGAGATGCGCAAGAGTACTTTTTGCAGGCGCTCTAGGTGCTCCTGTTGGTTTTTATCGAAGGCCCCCACGTCATTGAGATGAAACAGCAATCTCTGGCAGCCCTGCAAGATCTTAGCCATCATCTGCTGGAAGGTTGCTGGTTCTGAAGCTAGTCCGAAGCACGCTCGCTTAAAGCGAAAGAGTCCTTCGTGCGTAACAAACGCTGTTAATCGCGACTTTCTGAATTAAGTGTAATCTGAAGGTATGCTGCAGCAAGATCCAGTTTTGAGAACCTCTGCTCTCCATGCAAGAGCGTTCAGCAGTTCTTCGATGTGAGGAAGCGGGTAGCTGTCGATGACTACCGCTTTGTTAACTTCGCAAAGATCCACACATTCGAATAATGCCATCTCTTTTTTTTTTTTTTTTTTTTTTTTGACCACTACTATTGGCGATATTCACTCGGAGGCGTTGATGCGCTCGATTACCCCAGCTTCCTCAAGACGTTTAATTTCCTCAGAAACTGGTTGTCGAGCAGCTTGGGGAATGCGCCGAAGCCGATGTTTAACTTGAATTACTGAGGAGCGGGTCTTCAGCTTGCAGATGACTCCCTTGACTTTCTGGACTCTGTGTTGTTCGTTTCTTTTACTCGTCCGTTGTTTTTAGCGCTTTTACCCTCAGAAACATGGATCACCAACTAGCCCAAGTGCATACCCTTCTGCAGTGACGTTAGCCGATTCTCGAACTACGCGTCGTGACCACTCAAGGTTTATGACGGTCTGCATTACTACTTCGAACGGAAGAGCTGCATCAAGGACCATTCGTTCTTGAATTTCCGTCGGTGCTACCCCAATCATGAACTGCTTGCGAATGCAATCTTGCATTCGACTTCCAAAATTAGCCTGGACGGCTAACGTCTGTAATGCGGATAGAAAATCGTGAAGAGGCTCGCCTTCCCTTTGCCTACGTAAACGGAACTGTAGGTCCAGCAGCGTCACATTTGTCGGCTGTGTGAATTCGGCTTCCAGTAACTTGATGGTCTCTTTGTAGACATCAGGAGTAGCGCGTACAGCTTGCTCGCCATCTGCTGCTGCTAACGGTGTTAATACCTGATCAACAGCAGGTTCAGGTGTTGGTAGTGAGTCATAAATCTGCTCACCGGCTTCGCCGACGCAGTTCAGCAACATCGCTTGACGCCGTTCTGCAGGATACACTCGGACGCCCGTTGCCAACAAATAATGCTCGAACATTCTGATCCATCGCTCCCATAGGATGACTGGAGGTCCCAACTTAGCAAGAAACTCCGGGGAACCTTACCGCCCGAGGCCATGACGATGCCAAATGGCTTCTCAGCACCCTATGGTGCCATTCGAAATGGTCGCCATCTTGACCTAAATCGTGCGAAGAAGATGGTTCCACCGGGAAAAGCAGAAAACTGTCCAATACAGAGGGTACCGTCGAGGTCAGGTTGTAGTCCTCGCTGAGGCTCAGTCCAGCGCACGAAAAGCTTGTTTTAACCCTCGTCGCCAAATAATGTAGTGTTGGGCAGTTCGTGGACCGCTATTACAGCACGACCATCGCGGGCACAGTCTCGTGAGTAACTGCTTTATTCGGGCAGAACACAGACGAGGAAAAGAAAGGAGATGTGTTGAAGAATAACGCGATAGATCGGACAACGCAAAGAAGAGTAGGTGAAAGATAAACACAGTAGGACACAGCATTTCACCACGGTGCGGCTCCTTCCAGAAGCATTTCATATATACTATGACTGGACTGGCATAGACATTCTGTGTGGCAGCCGACCTTTGTAATCACTGTCAGCTTACCCGAGCAGAGCGCTATATACAAAACGTTCGAGGCCACAGTCGGCGCTAAGTTATTACACAAGACCTGGAAATAGAGAACAGAGATCTTTTTCATACGCTAACAAAGAGCGCCGCGATCAACTCAATGGGTGCCTACGAAGATCAATTCGATAATAAGAGAAACGAAAAAACTTATTGTGCAGATTTTAAAAACTAATTGCACTGGCAAATATCGTCCTGGAGTGATTTCCCTACTGTCGAACACACAAACGCTTCGTAGAAGCATCTTCCAGCACAAATAAACGAAAAACATTCCGGTATGCGTTGCCGTCGTTGTCCCTTACAACTGCGGGACACGCGACGGAACCTGAGCTCCGAGCAACTCCTGCGGGTCGAACGATGAAAAACACACACAGGACAACGCTGGACGTGGTAAGGGATTCGAAATGTGAAGGTAACGGAACCTTTCTTCTGAAGCGAGATCGAAAAACACGGCCGCGTAAAGGCGGGAACGTGGCGCTGCTCGAGGATTAGAAGAGGTCGGAGCGGTCAGCGCCTCACTATGCCACGTAACATGAACCCTGTCAATGGTGGCGCTGCCAACGAGCTGTCAATGCTGAGCGGCGCGCCCGCCTTACATGTGTCGCACACTCCCCCCACTTCGTTTCACTGTAACCTGGCAAACAGCAAACGCTACGGCCCCTTCGAGCAATCCAAGCGTGATGCTTTGCATTGCTTAAAGTCACAACTCAGACTGCGTTTTTTGGTCTAAACATTTGTTTCGGCGTTGTCATTCGCTGAGCTGCCTCCGTAAGTTGCGGTGATTGGCTCTCCGAGTGTTGCGCGTGAAAGCAGACGCATAAACTTTTTTTTAGAGTGTATAGAGGGACGAGGGCGTAACCAAATAGTAACGCCTCCTGGATGAGAAAGCCGAAGTGCTCCAATCTCCTGCGTCACTAAGGAAGGCCACCGCAGGCCACATTCTGGACACTACTGCGGCGTGAGGGTTCGACTAGGTGTCGCGTTCTGACTGACTGGACACGACTCCTAGCCGAGCGCTGACGCCGTAGTCGTGTCCAATGTGTGGCCTACGGTGGCCTTCTTCAGGGACACAGAAAAATTCGGTACTAATGCTTTTTTTATCTACGAGATTTTCTGACAGGTCAAGAGCCCAGGGCAAGGAAAAGGAAGGCCGGGGAGGAGGAATCAGATGGAATACTAGAGAGGCGGAAACGTACCCCTCCTCCAGCATTCCGCCTGCCACGCGGAAAAGTTAATATCATTTCAATAAATGACATGACACTATTGAATCAGCTCGCTTTTGCCATTCGATGGAAAGCACATTAATTTTGTCATGTGGCCGGGATCTAATGCGAGAATTCAGTGACTGCATGCGTTAACATCGCTTACATAATTGTAAGTGACACTTGTCTAGCCGTGTCGGCGTTGATTACGTCTACCGGATTTTTACTGTGATCCGTTTTGCTGTGTTCAATCACTGCGTATCTCACCATTTTTTCGAAATAATTCTGTATAAAAATATGCATTCCCACAGCAATAATTGCGTGACTCAATATTTTCGACTTCAAATAATCGCGCTATTCTGTTGAAGTCTTTTACGCATACCTCCTGCCATTTAATTCATACCATTTATTTAGCGGTGAAAACTTTTTAGCTCGCGTAATAAAATTGTTTTAGCCCCGTTTCTATTTGCAGCTTTTGTTTTAGATGATAAGACGAGGTTATGTGACTTCACATAAGCATAAGCTGTGACGCGTTGCTTCGACGGTCGATCTATGCACGTTGTCTTCGGTTCGGCGCTTCGACGTGCGACCCCCATGACTATCCTTTGCGACGTCACGAAAAGAGCGCTACGGCCTTAGCTTCTAGGAGGTGTTGATCAGGTGGTACTTTACCGGGGGCTCTAATCTGGACACTTAACAAAAAAGTCGAGGAGAAATTTGGCGGCCGTTATCGCTTCGTGCCGCGCTTGAGCTTGGCATAGCCTAACCACAGCGGTCGAATACCTCGCCGACTTTTTCATCAAGTGTCCAGGTCAAAGTCCCGGAAGAATACCTTTTATTTGACTTATCTGCATTATAAGTGGAGTGCCTAGATTACAAAAGATTTTTTTAACTGCTTGATCGGTGTCACGCAATTTATTGGGCTTGTTTCCTGTGCAAGCTCCGAGGAGGTGATGAAAGCGTTGATCGTCTCCAAGCGTCTCTGCCTCTCCACCTGCTTTTTTCCTTGCCACGAGGCAACGTAAATTATGCGCACTTCCGGACACTGCAGCGCTCTGCTCCATGAAACTAGCGCGCTTCGGGCTTTCTCAGAGGAAGGGCGCAAGAGAGCTACAGAAAAACAGATGGGAAAAAAAGCATACCCCTTTGCTGTGCAGCCAATCTCCGCAAACGTTGCACTTAAATTGCAGACGCGCTCCATAGATTTAGTTGCACCCATTCTTAATTTTGGATATCTAACTATACAGCGCGCTATATCTCGGCGAAACTCACTCTTGAGTGCACTCACTCACTTCACTCACCCTCGCGGACCAGGCGTGTCGTGAGGGTGAGTGAGTTTGTAAGCCTCGAAAACTAGGGAGTTTGAGGTTGAGTGAGTGGCATGAGTTCGTCGAAGGGCGTGACTTTGAATTACGACAAATTATGCTCCTTGAATTTGAGAGCCCAATAGGCGGAAGCTCTAAAGAAGAGACACACGGCCTATAGAAAGGCAAGGGTAAAAAGAGTGCATTAAAACCATTCATCTTGGCGTCCGAGTCGCAGTGCGTGCAAACTTATCGGTACCGCATAGATGAAAGATAAATATTACGTTAATCTTTAGGGGAACTTTGTATCATTCGCTGTTTTTGAAAACTTTGCGAAACGTATTTTACTCCGTTAATAATACAATTGTTTTTGTTGTTGTTTTTAACTCGCAGCAAAGCGGTGGGGCTGTGGCAATCTTCGCTGCCTCGATAACTTTAACAACAAGTAAGTCACCTTTGAGAGTATGAATTCGTATCTTACCAACAATCATCCCTACCCACTAAAACGATGAGAAATGTATCCTACTCTTCACTTCCCGATTTTTTTCCTTCCTCCCGAGAGACTAGGAATACCAGTAACCGATGTTCGCGAGAAAAGAGTACCGTGTTTTTTGGCCCGCATTAATCAACTAAGCATCGCAGATATCTCAAACTCCGCAAGAATGATACGCGAGCCTTAGTGACAGAATGCAGTAGTCGGGGAGAATGACGTTGCCTGGAACAAAAGATAAAATAGGAAAACGAAATATTTTCACGAGCCTGAGCTCAGTGCCAACGTTACTAGTAACGTTGAGCCGACGTTCACCTAAGCTCAATATTGTAAAAACAAGAAATTACATTGTGGACGCATCTGGTAGGTTTATCAATAAAAACCACTTTGAAGCAACAACCAAGGTTTTGTTCTCTTAGGGGCAAAGCTCCTTAAAGTCCAGCCTTGTCCGACGTCCGTGCTCACATCGATTGCCATCCCATCTGCCTTCTTAAAAAAAGAAAAAAATGTTTGCGCAGTCGACAGGATTCAAACCTGTGCGGGGAGACCCCAATGGACTTCTAGTCCATCGCCTTAGCCAGTCGGCCACGACTGCGGGACGCGTAGGGGGTTCTGAGATGTGGTAGTAACTCAAAAGCTGCGGGTGTCATAGATGAAACGTTGCATGTAGCCGCTCAACGTCTATATAGGATAGGGCGCTGCGGTCAAATGCGTATATAATCGCGTTAAACTTTGCATGCATTGGCTCAACGTTTATAGACGAGAAGGCGCTGCGGTCCATTCCTCAAATGCGTAGATAACCATGTTCCATACGACACATTCTCTTTCTGACATGGACCGTTGACTTAAGCGGTGGAGATGCGTTCCGACGGCTCCTAGCGGATCCAAGCTGATCTGCGAGAAGCACCACTGGCTCTGCATTTCACCGACCATAAAGCAGTAATAATGAAGTCGAAACATAACCCGGAACTCCGCACTACCTATTAGCAATAAAAACAAAATCAGCATCATCAGCACAAGCTATGAACAAAATCAGTATCATCAGCACCACCAGAGATTCGCCCCAATCAACATCATTCAGCACGTAGAGATTCGGTCTTTTTTTTTAAGAGTTTTTTTTTTTACAATATTTTTTGTAAACTAAATGCTGGAGGGGCTCACAAAGATGAAGACATTACGTCTTCGTATTTTATCTTCTGATCAAGGTAACGTCATGTTCGCAAACGTTGGAGTTCTACCACCACCGCTAGGATAACTGATTTTCACAATCTTTCAGATTTCTGCTCTGCGTAGCTTATTTACAAGGGCCGAAGACCACGGTTCTCGTTTCTCACAACCACACGGCCGCCTGAAAGTGGATCAAAATATGAAACATATTAAAACATCATTCCGATATTAATTATGTCACACATTTGTCTGTAAGACAGCATTTAAAATATCGACCATAACATCTTCATTTTTTTTTTTACTTCTGGATCCCAGCAAAAGCTCCCCAGACAAAAAGTGTAAGATAAATTACTCATACTATTGTTCTACCTGTTATTAGTGGACTATAGCGGCAACTGAAGAAGAAAAGAACAGAGGACCGGACGGGACAGGTATAGACGAGAGTGGCTGCACGACCTAAAGGAATACACACGCATATATAGCATATAGCCTCAACAAATTGTGACCCGAAGAAAAAATGCAACATGCAAACTACCGGTGAGCCTTCTACGACTATCGCTACAATTACAGTGAAGCTTCCGCCTTTTTTCGCTGCAGATCCAGCTCTCCGCTTCGCGCATATAAAATCAATATTCGCAATACGCTGCATAACACGAAACGAAACGAAGCTCCATTAGGCGGTCAGCACACTTAAACCATGTTAGGCGTTCGAAACGCTATTCTTGGTGCCGCTTTTTCAGCTCACCTTGGTCTTTTGGTCGACATGGCTCACCATAAGCTTTTAGACGCTAGCACTTAGATTTGCGTACGAGACATTCTGTCGTCTCCACCTCTACTAAGTCTCGCCCAGCTTCGCATCAAAACCAAGATCAGGTACTGCGCCATACTTCACAACTTTCCCAGCTTGACCTAGCCATAGTACACAGAGCAACCTGTGAAACACAACTTGCAACATTTCGTCACCACCACCGGACCGCACATACTTGCCTATGCCGGTCGTCTAACTCCAGAAAATGTTTGAGTGGCACGTCAGGAATGTTAAAATATGACGGATTCGAGAATTATACGAACTTCATCAAGCAACTGGGCATCTCCACTACACCTAATGCCAAAGAAAAGTGGATACAGAAGGCCTTGCGGTGATTGTCGTGCATTAAACAACACAACTAACCCAGATCGGTACCCTCCCTCACTACCATGACTTCTCTTCATATTTTGAGGATATGTCAGTCTTCTCAAAAATAGCTCTTGTTCAAGCATATCATCAGATACACATTGCAACTGACGACAATCCTAAAACAGCAACTGCAACTTCATTTTTTTCTTATTCTTTGGGATGTTATTTGGGCGGTATAATGATTCGCAGAGTTTTCAACGTTTCATGAACGAGGTACACCGAAGACTTGACTTTTGTCTCGCCTCTCTGGATGACATCCTAGTAGCCAGTGCATCAGAGAAAACATAAACGGCCGCCTCTATGAACCCTGGTCTGCACCTGGTCTGCACCAGTATGAATTTGCCATGAGTGTCGCCAAATGCGAGTTGACAGTTACGAATGTGTAGCACCATACCTAAATTTCTTGGGGCATTGTGTTACTAAGCATGAACTTCGAACCCTCGATACCAAAGTTTAAGCTATTCGCAACTATCCAATACTGTCTAGCCAACGTAAGCTCCGAGAGGTCCTAGATTGGTTAATTTTCACTGCTAATGCATAGCCGGCTGCGCCGAAACTGTTCTACGTACTACTAAATGACCTATTAGTGATTTCAAAGGATTCCACACCGTCATTCACGCGACCCAACAGAGCATCTAGGTGATTTAGTTCAATCAATGCCGCAACTACCAATGCCACGTTGCTAGTGTACACTAAACCTGATGCACCCACTAGCATAATGGTTGAGGCTTCAAGCACAGCAATAGGAGCAGCACCACAGCAACACATCGGTGAACATTGGATACCTCTCGTTTTATTTTCAGGAAAATTAACCCCAACAAAGGCCCGATGCGGTGCCTTTAGAAGTGAACCTTTTGCCACATATCTCAGCGTCAAACATTTTAGTTAATTTGACGAAGGTCGCAAATTTTTCATTTGCAAATCACAAACCACTCACCTTCACTCTAACACTAAAAAGAAAAGCATATAACCCTTGGGAAGAAGAGAACCTAGTATTTTTCAGTGAATTTACACAGATATTCGACATATCAAAGGATATCACAGAGTGGTCGCTGGTGCATTGTCACGTGTAGATCCGCGTTGATCCTACCTGGCATTGAAGATTGATTTTGACGCACTCGCAAGAGGAAACATCTTTTCAAGTTGACACGCAAGACACATCTTTTTGGTTGAAGGAAACATTCGTGCCACAGGCAAATATTTCTTTTTGCAATTTTTTCAATATGAACCCCACGACCATACATTCCGTCCGCCTTCCGCAATGTCTTCAATGCTCTGCATGGACTGTTGCATCCTTGCACACTAGCTATGCAAAAACTATACACTGCCCATATAGGCTGGCCGAAGATAAACACGAATATACTCACATGGAAAACAACATGCACCTCCTGTCAAAAGTCAAAGAATTATCGTCACACCGTAACGCCAGCTGCAACGTCTCCGCCAACCGCCCTACGTTTCGACCATGTTCGTCTAGACTTCGTTGGCGCCTTACATCATTCCAGAGATTACATATATATTTTAAACTGTGTACATCGCCTCACACGATGACATGAGGCGATTCCAATTCCAGACATCACTGCGGTCACCGTGACCGAAGCTTCCGTCAAAGAGTGGGTTGCCCGTTTCGAGGTACCACCTATGATCACGACGGTTCGCGGTACACATTTCTAGTCCCATCTCTTCGCCCATCTTATGCGACTCCTCGGCGTAATCTGTATGCGCATTACAGGCTACCATCCTGCTGCAAAATAAATGGTTGAACAATTCGGTAGACAAATAAAGACATGCATACTGCTCGTTCACAGCTCTATTCTCTGGATCGAGGCTCTACTCGTTTTTCTTCTAAGAATTCGTTCCATGATAAAACTTCACATTGTGGTTTCTGCATCTTAACTTGTTTATGGCGCTATTGTACGCATGCCAAGAAAATTCATTCATGCTACACGACATGACTTACTTCCTCCTTTAACTTGTTTTCACGAACAACGCTCACCGCCTCAGGGTTCCGGTAGCTTTGAGCTGGTCCGCCACGATACGCTATTAATCACCTTACCTGCATCGATCCTGAACTTCACAACTGTTCTTATGTCTTCCTGCGAATAGACAAGGAAAAAAATTACTGCATCTCCACGTGGTGAATGATGTTGATTGGGGCGAAGGTCGGGTGGTGCTGATAATACTGATTTTGATCATAGGTAGTGCTGATGGTGCCGTTTTCATTCATGTCAGTAAGAGAATGTGTGGTTTTCTTTTTCTTTTTTAAGAAGAAAGATGGGATGGCAACTGAGAACCCCCTACTTTTTTTTTTTTCTTCTTTTTCTTGATACTGATTTTGGTCATAGCTAGGTAGTGCTGATGGTGCCGTTTTGATTCATGTCAGTAGAAGAATGTGTGGTTTTCTTCTTTTTCTTTTTTTAAGAAGACAGATGGGATGGCATCTCAGAGCCCCCCATTTTTTTTTCTTTTTTTTTCTTTTTTTTTCTATCTTTTTTTTTTTTTTTTTTTCTTGCTCTTGCTGTTGAGCTCGTGAGCTCAGGAGCTCACGAGCAGGGGTACGCCGGACGGCGGACGGACATACAGACATGGCTAGCCCCTAAGGAAGTTCGCCCCTAAAAAGCACTTGAACAACCCTATCAAGGCCCATTCAAGGTCATCAACTGCAATCTGTAGTTCTTCGATATCAATGTCTGTGACCGCTGCGAAAGAATATCAACCGACAGACTAATATCAGCTTATACGCATAATCCCGCTCCAATTTCCCATTTGAAGACAAGGAGACCAGCCAAGGACACCAGTCACCACTTGCGAGGAAAGACAGTTTGCCTGTACATTCACAACAGGACGTAATACTTTCTCATAGCTGTGAGAATTACTAAACATATTTCTTTACGCGACTGTGGCATCGCCTTTTCATAATATTTGTAAATATAGAAATAGATAATTATTTGCTTTATACCTATGCTTCGTTCTTGCGGAGAGAGAATATTTGCAGCGAATGCTAAAGAAGAGGAGAATGAAGGATCGCACGAGCCAGTAATAGCGGCCGCGCAGCCTAAATGAAGAAATAAATATTTATGGAAAAGGGCCTCAACAGGAACAAGTGTTTACATCAACCACTGTGCTTGAACTGTTGAAGACCGTTAAAGATCGCAGACGGAAAGCGCAATACCTCGTTGTTAGAAATATAGCGAAAATGTTTCTAGTATTCGAGAGGCGTGACTGTGCAGGTTAGATAAAAAGCATGACGGGGTGTGAACAGCAGGCGCCTTTTTCTTTGGTTCTTCCTCCCCAAGGGGATTCCTCGTGCAAATTTGTTGTCATGTTGTTGTTGTTCTTTTATTTCCCTTTAGTTAGAAGAGTTAAATTTGGTGGTTTTTAGGCGTCAAACCAACTAAGGGCATCTTACACGTCCCAGCGAAGGACTCGAAATTAATTTTTATCTGCTGGGAACCTTGTGACCGACAACCGAAAGCTCGGTTACACGGCTCCTTTTCCGCAATCAGCCTCCCTCAGGCCGGCGTTTTGCCTCGGAGCAAACGAGGCGGCTTGTCAAAGCCGGAGACAATCCAACTTTTCGAAATATGGTCGATCCGTACAGCAGCCTGTAGTGGCACCTGGTGAATTCGGGGAAAATCAAATAGAATGCCGGAAACCGAAGAGAATATCGTATACTTCTTCTCTTTTCAATTTTAAGTTTTAATAAAGGTCTACCACTCGCTACCGCGGGCACAGTAGCGCTCCGGGAGCGTGCTTGGATATTAGCGACAAGATGTTTTGGTGGCGCCCTCCTATGGTTCCCCCTTGTGACGTCATTACCTCGCGAACAACAAGTTCGATGGTGTTTGTAAATAGCATGGTGGAAGCCTGAAATCATTGCGCTCTCAAAGCAACACTGCCAACACCGTCGAAATTGAAGTTTTTTCATTCCTCTTATTTCCGTCGATGGCATACCCTTTCCGACGTCATGGTCAGCTTTTGGGCCAATCGTGGAAGGCCGACCACAGCGACGCTTTCGGTCGCGCACGTCGCCAATATGATTTGAGACCCCAGCGCGAGCTCTCGACAGCAAACCCACCCTCGGCGGTAGCGCTGTGCTAAAACTCTCAACTATCTCGGGGCAAAAATGACGTGTCTGATAAATTGTTTTCATGTGCAATAGTCACTACAGATATGAAAATAGCAGAAATAGCTGTTCAGTTCTCCCACCTTCAGCGCTAGCTTTCTACCTTCAATAACTCTTCGTTGTTTCGTGAGCCCGATCGTGGTCATGCAGCCAAAGCATGGCGGAAGGCAGTGAGCGCCTGCTGTGGACCGATAATCCGAGACGTACATCCTGACGTACGCACCCCCTCAATCAGTGTAGTTCTCTTGTATTCTATGATGTTAATTGGTAAACACAGAAAGAACCCATTAGAGTTTCATCTTTATACTCTCTGTGACTATTGAGGTGTTTCTTTTGCAGTGTGTTTCTTTCACTATTTTCGCACGCAGGTTTCGATGTGCCGTTCATGTGGAGCTGCTTCTGTATCGGCGCTATGGGGACCATCTACACTGCTCTGGTGACTGTTTTTTTTTTATATTAACCAAAATATCCTTTAGATATTTGGCTTCGTTTAATCAGATTATGTATTAGAAGTATAAATTGGCCAGTCGTGGCACCTCAATCACCAGGAAATGCGCAAATTAAGAAATTAAGTTTTAAATGCAGAAAACAGATTTTGGTCGGCCTACTATCATCGAGGCGAGACCATATAATCACAGTGTTCAATCCTAGCTCGGGAAGCTACTGAAAAGAAAATGAAGCACCATCTTCGTCCCCTAATTTTTATGACACGAAAGCTATCATGCTACTGAATGAGATATCGGTACTTCGTGTCGCACCTTAGTTTCCAACATTAAACGTAAAAAAATGGATTCCCAGGCGCGCCTTCTGCAGACCAGTAACAACGTCGGAGAAGTAAGTGAAGACGTCATCCTTAGGAACAACGAGACACTCGGAGGGTTCCGAAAAGCCTGTTGACCTTGACTCCCACTGGCGCTCAATCAGCTCAACAGCGTTTATTCAACTCGACGGTGCGACGTGCCCGAAAAACAAACCCGAAAGAGGATGGGGCTAGAGAGCGAACCTTATTCCGCCTGCCTGGAGAAGGTGAAAAACGTATCATTCCTTCCCTCGTTCTCGAGTCCGCTTGGAGGTGCGTCAGGAGCAGGGAGCAAAACGGGCTGTCGCTACCTTTTCCCTCCCTTTTTCTCAGAATGCATGAGGAGCAGATGTCGCACTTGTTCGCTTTGATTGGAGGGAGACAGCGGGCAGATGCAAAGGCATCTAGACTTTTGATCTACCCACCCTCCTTTCAACCAGAGCTCTGCACTCGGAAGTCACCGCAAGCTCTCATGTCCTCCTCTCCCTCACTTTCTCTCCGTAGAGCCCTGTGTACGGACAGTCGCAGGTTGAGTCTGCAGTTTACACATCGTTTGCGCACCGCAGCTTGAAACGTGCTTTACAAAGTTACTATACTAAGTCCTGCGTTGCAGATGTTAACAGAAAAAAAAGTAACGAAATATGTTACTCGTTACTTACAAATAAAAGGAACGCGTTACCGATCTACATTACCTCAAAATAAAAGGAAAACGTTACCGTTGACGTTATGGACAAAATGTAACCCACGTTACTTTTGCGTTACCGTTTAGTTATGAATTAACACGTGTTACTGTTTTGACGTTAGAGGTATGCATAAGCGCCATATTTCAAGAAACATTAGGTTTATGCAGGAAGTGAACATAATTTACTTATCTTTTTTTTTTGTGTCACTTAAATACTCACGAGGAAAAACTAAAAAAAAAGACGCCAAAAACTCACAAACTGACATAATTTGGCGCCTAAAAGCCCGAAAAAAAAATTGAAGTGTAAATATGTAACGAGTAACGCAACTACGTCATCCGTTGCTCTAAATAAGCAACGTAAGTACGTTACCCGTTACTCTTTCGAAAACGTAACGAGTACGTTAGTATGTTACCGAAAAAAGTAACGCGTTACTAGTAACGCCGTTACACCTAACGCGATACAGCCTACATTGATTTTCTAACCTGATGTAATCAATCCCTTGTTATACGCGATAAATGAACCAGGTTAGCAGTCCTACGGCACTGGCCACATTACTCCTAGGCAGCGTTCAAGCAGTACGCTCTAAAAAAAGCCCGTGAGTCTGCTTTCCCACACAACGCTCGGAGAGCCAATCACCGCCACTTACGGAGGCAGCCCAGCGAATGACGATGCCAAAGCATATGTTTAAACCAAAAAACGCAGTCTGAGTTCTGACATTAAGCAATGCAAGCGTGACGTTTTGCATTGCTTAATGTCACAACTCAGACTGCGTTTTTTGGTCTAAACATATGTTTCGGCATTGTCATTCGCTGAGCTACCTCCGAAAGTTGCGGTGATTGGCTCTCCGAGTGTTGGTGCGGGAAAGTGGACGCACAAACATTTTTAGAGTGTATCTTAAAATCTGAAACCATCCAAAAATGCAATGTTTGCTGCGTCTAATCTTTTTTCGTTAACTAGCACGTCTCGACTAAAATTATCCCTCAAGAAAATCTGAGAACTTTTCTTAAAGGTATAATAAAACGTATTGAATTATTCAGAGAGAGAGAGACCTGGCTAATAATGCTTCACATATTCGCAAACTCTTTTAACTATTGTGCGGTTTCACTCATGTCTCCTGGAGGTCCAGTGCTACGCTTATACTTAAAAGTAGCGACCAAGCGCTAGGAAAAACATGGAGGTACTGCGCTCACCAGAATTATTCTGTTAAGACGCAGCGTTTATTCTTTTGCTTCATTTTACTTTTAATCTTGACGCGTTGCGTATTTGCACAAAAATGATTGTCTCTACTTGAGGACGGGTCTGGAGATACAGACGTGTCTTGTTTAGGCGGACTGAAGTTTCCCTCCGCAAATAGCTGTCAAGAAAATCACGCGAGGCGCCCTTGGGAAACCCAGCTTAAGCGACGCAACAAGTTCGAAGTATACGCGTAACAAAGCTGATGTCTAACGTTACATCTCAATTTGATGAATTAACCCTCGGTTCTGACTGACTCAAATCGTCACACAAGTTCTAGTTCTGCCACGGTACACGAGTATAATGACGGTGGGCACGCATGTGATGTCAGCAGCAGTAAAATGCAGTACGCGCGTACAAATTTCGAGTTTTCTACGCGCATATTTTCTATATACTTGCCGTCACACAACTTTGCTCTAGGTGGTAAAAGGTATAGTGCTGCGAGTTCACCAACGATGGTGCACAAATGATATAAGGGTGCTATCAGGGATCGCCCACGGGAAAACACCAATACATAATTCTCAATCCGATCTCCCCCTCCGATCTCATGAGCTAAGAGCGTTATTTTCACGGGTAAGATAAGAACAGCATAGAGGAGTTTCAGTCGTTCCGCTTTCTAGCTCGAGCTTCCTGCTGCCTTCGATAATGCTTCGGCTTCTCGAAAGCCTCGAGCGTGCACGCGCAGCCAAAGCACGGCTGAGGGCAACGAGCGCGTTTTGGAGCCCGGAGTACACGAAAGAGGCGTCCTCCCATTTTCATCCTGACAGTGCTTATAGATTTGTTACCCCTCGAACCAGCACACACTCTGGGACTGCCCAGCAGCCCACCAGAGTCGACATGAATCCCTTTCCCAGTTACCCCACGACCTCACTTTAAGCGGCTGGTAGGAATGGTCGTCCCCCCCTCCAGAACTCCAGAAGTTGTGGTGGCCATCCCTCGTTCATCACATTCAATTTATGATGGGCGACGGAGACCGGCGCCGCTACATAGGCCCGGACCTGGGCTAAGATCGAAGAACTTCCACTCTTCGGTTAAAATAAAGTATATCTCTCTCTTTCTCTCTCTTACCTCACAAAGAAGCTAAGCAAAACGAAATTGTACATTGTTTGCACAACGCAATACTAATCTTCTCATAAGACTGGTGATAATATTTCAATGGTCAACGCTAAAAAAAAAAAAAAGAAACGCCTGAGCGATTTGATTGGGGAAAAACATATAACAATGTTTCCTTATACAGTCAGTGCCGCCTACGATATTCACAGTATGTACAAAGAACAAAAAATAGGGAGGTAATTGAACATATGCGGTATACATTATTAGAGCAGAAAAGAACATACTCCATGGTAGTAAGAGCGTTTCATCTTGCTGTGTGTGTGTCCGAGGTCTAGAAAATATCAAAATCAAAATCACGAGCCCAAATCGAGTGCCTAAGGCAATGGTCGGGTCCAATCTATGAACCGCATTCAAATATCGTCATTGGGGTGTACTGCGATCCCCACGTTACGTTATCAAATTTTGCAAAGGAGAGATTGAATGAAAATTATCGATTTTGTCCTTGAAATTATACCGCAACAAAGGGGTTTCTTCGCCAGGGGGATTGCGTGCGAGTATCCTTGAATCCCACTACTGCCAGTAAGCTCGTGTAAAGTGAAAAACATTCCAACTGAATATCGTTGCACCGCTCTTTTAAGGGTGAACGGAGTATAGCAGTATGAGGACACGCTGAGGGACTTTTTTGTTTCTCGAACACACACAAAAAAAAAAAAAAGAGTGGTGCGGCTTACGGACTCCTGGATCGCGCGTCCTTAAAGATGCTTTCCGTCTCGCCTACCGCTCATCCTCTCTCTTTTATCGCAGTTTTCCTGTCCAACACCTCCAAGATAACAAAACCGTAGTGTTAAATAAGATGGCGTCACCAGAGAAAGCCAACGCCGGGCACAGATTGGACACGACGATTGCGTCAACGTTAGGCTCAAACTTGACTCGAAGCCGAGCGCTGACGCAGCAGTCGTTTCCAATCTGTGTCGAGCGTTGGCCTTCACTGACGACGCCATCTCATTCAGCACTATGGCTTTGCTATCTAAAAGGTGCCTGTCTATTGTTCCAAAGTTACTAGATAAGAGCTTCCTACAAGTAGCGCCATTCTTTGAAGCGCCGACTACTTGACGGTGCCGGGTTAAAAAAGCGAATTTGTGGCACACAGCAGACGACTGATATGAATGACGTCATTTTGTTCTCTCAGAATGTACTTTGTCATTTGTATTGGTTGTTGTTATTTGTAAAACGAAGTATCAAAGGACTTACCATTGTTCTGGTGCCTAAGGAGTAGGCTTCCTCCTATAATAGCAGGCTATGGTTCTGGTGCTTGTTGAGCCTAGTAGGCGCGCTGGTTGACTAGGCCCATGTGCTCATAGATCCCTTGGAAGCATGTAAATCTACCCCGGTTTGTTATTTGTGTCAACGCTCGGGAATTGTTACACCGCTTCATTTGCAGGACGAAATGAGAACTAAGCAAACACGTAACTCGTGGTTTCCTCATGGAGACGACAAGCAAGATTCACCATCCCCGTCTTCTCTTAATCTTAAATATAGTTTTAGATGTACATAACATGTAAAAAAACAAGAAATTCTTACATTCGACACTAATGTTTAATGCATAGAACTCGCCTAAACATTTTTAGTATATCTGAAAAATTTGGTTTAGAACAACATATCAAACTGAAACTTAGTGTTGTGCGTAAATATAGATACATAGATATATATATATTGGCTTTCGGGGGTTTCATAAGACATTGATTCATTCGATCAAGTACGGTTCAATCATCACCATATTTTCAATTATGTCCTCTTCGGAGACCGCCGTACGATGATGAAAAATACCCGTGATATATATATATATATATATATATATATATATATATATATATATAGTCATTTATTATTATAAAGTAAGACAGGAAAGGGGAATGCAAGACGCGTGAACGCATATAGGTTGAAAATTTATTCAGTTTCATGATTTGCCAGAGCACTGTTAACAACTATGTATGAAAATTTGCTTTCTTCTGCTCAAGCCATATTTCGCATTCGACAACACAGGGAGGACTGAGGGGCGTCGTGTGGATGGACTGCCTGCAGGCTGCATTAACGCTGCTAGCGCCAGCCACTATTATATCCAAGATTGTTTACGACTCCTACCACGGGTCTGTTCCATTGAGACCCTTGACCGACTTCGATGTCAGGCCGTACATCTTCAAGTAGGTGTCTTGGTGTTCCTTACTGCTGGGCTGTTGGCGGTTCGGTGGCGGTTAAAATTACCGTAAGAGGGACTTTTATCTCACGTTACCCGCTCTGTAGTGCCAAAGTACGTAGCGTTCTCGCAGATTCCGCTCAACAGACCCCCGTGACAATTCTCACGTAACACGACCGGATCCACTAAACTAACTTTACATCCTGCTCTTAAAGTGCACGAATACAATTTCCTTCACTTAAATTACAAGCCTGTTCACCCTTTTTCTGCGCGCAAAATCGGACTTCGAGAACCGAAGCGAGGACGAACTTAACGGCAGCCCTTTGCCTGGAACACTATGCATTTTTAGTTCCTTGTCTCAACGGAGCCGGTATAATGTGGGATCAAGATCTCTCTTGAGGCTATTTTAACTATACCGGGTGAGACACAAGCGTATTCACCAGCAAGCCATCCCCAACTGTTAAATACGAATTGGCTCTCTGCCTCAACACTTCCTTAATCTTGAAGTTGTCACATCACAGGGTTTTAGTAGATTGTTTTCACTTTCCGCTCCAAGCTTCCTGCCAAACTGCGAGTACACAGCCGGCTACGCTCAAACTCAGAGCGGCCATGTATGCGCAGTGCCGATTGTTCCGCTCCGTACAGCGCGCGCGCGAAAGCGGTCTTCTAAAACTCGCTATTGTAACGCGTGTGCGCGTAAACGAGTGGCACGGTTACGTCACGTCGTCAAAAACCAGACACTCTTTGCCAGGGCCGGTTTGATGATGATTGCGGCCGTCTCTCCCGGCGGTTAAAATAACCACAAGAGGGATCCTGAGGTGCTGTGACTGACTCCATGAGGATAGGGAGCTAAAGTTAAACAGCGTTCCAGGCAAACCCTTAGCGAAAGAGAGCGTAATAATAGTATACTCGACATAGTTCTAGTATACTATAAGGTAGGAGTGCAACAGAATATTACAAAGAGTAGAGTAGTATTGTATGGCATCCGGGAGCCGTTCCATGATCCAAGTATGCTTGCCAAGAATGTTTATATCATATAACTACCAGACTACTCCAAGTACGCTCTCAGCAACCGTAGACACTTCAAGTATAATTTAGGCACGCCATTAATATTGTTTAGGATTATAGAAGTAGCGCACTCCCGGTAAACACGGAAGCGTCTTCAACTGACCTTCAAAGCGTGAGGCATCTATGCACTCTTAATCTGGTTCCACTTAGGTTCAAGTTAAGTTCCGCATAAGGCTGGTGTTCCACTAATTTTGACTAAGTCCTGACAAATTTTTAGCGGATCAAACGGTTTTACTTTGTTTTGTGTAGCTTTCCTCTCGAGAAACCTCTTAAATAATTCTACATTAATAAAATATCGCAAACTGAGTGGAACGCTTATTTTATTTGCTTTCTATAATTGATTTTTTTTAATGAAACACGTGCATTTACAGCAGGCTGATCACCTGTTCCGCCTAAATTTGTTCCAGTTACTAAAAACTTCTTCCACTTAAACTCTTCGCAGTCTTTTTTTTTAAAATTAATATGCCACTTTGTTCCACTTATGTGGTGAGTTGCGGAGAAAAACACCAGAAAAGAAGGAAATGTTCGCTTTTCAAAATTTGCTACTTTCTTAAAGACTTGGACTCATGTACGAGTCTCTCCTCTGACTGAAACAGTATAATCTTGAGTTGTCCACCTTAAGTGCAAAAGTTTTCAATTGAAAATTGCATACGTTTTAGGTCGCCTGCTATAGTGATTATTCACTGGCGGCCATATCCGTGTGCGCTGCTGCTGAGCGCGTGCTGACGGCGAGCTTCCGCAGTCCTTTTGGATTGTGCATTTAGCACCATCAAGGTTGCCGCTCTTAGCAGGCTATTTGTCTGAGCTCGTTCTGAGCATGCATGCGCTTTAAATATCGCCCTCAAATATGGTGTCCAGTGAATACTTCCTATACGGGCGCAAATCGTCGTCACACCATTAAAAAAAAAAGACATATTATTTTAAATGGTTGTAACAAAATTTGAGCTGTGCATAATATAATTGCACTGATCATATTGGTAATCAAACTGCTGAAATCGAGACAATCAAGGCGTCGGACTTCTCGAGGTACGCTCGAAGCGCGATATTTAGAAGAGCAACGGACGTTCGCCCTATTTGCGGAAGAGGCCGAGTGGCATCCGTCTCAAATCACGACCGGCAAAAATAAAGCTCAATCAATCAATCAATCAATTAATCAACTAGTGTTTCTTGCAGAGTTAAGGAATAACCGCTGCACTTGTCGTTGGCATTTTCAATAATAATAATATTACTAATAAAATCATTTACTGTTTATTAGTGTCCAGGGACATCCAATTGGTCTTGTTTCTGGCGAAGTTCAATAAAGCGCACAAACAGATATGCTTGCGCGCGCACACACACACATACACTCTCGCACGCACGCGCGTACGCACACATGCACACGCGCAAACGCACGCAGACGCAGGGAATGGCTGACATAAGTCCGTCCTCGCTTTGATTACACGAGTACAATTTTGTGATCAAAAAGATGCTGAACAGGTTTAAAATGTAAGTATAGTGAATGGCATTCGTGTACCTTAAATGAATACTGAACCGAAATTTAGAGTTTGAAAAGCAAGGCTCGAGGCGATAGGCAGGACGCTGCAAAACCCAAAAACATCATTCAAACATCGATATCTCTAGCGGACAGCCGTATTTTCGGAAAAGAAGTGCACGATTGAACAAGGCCGTCGAAGCCGACGAGGCAAGGCATGTCACGATTCTCTTTTCATCTCCACTTCGCTTCGTTCTTTTGAGCAGGTGAACCGAAGCGAGGAGGAGAGAAGCAAGGCCGCTTCCCCTCATTATCAACTGTTACAGGAAAATTGTGACGTCACATTCCTCAAAATAATTGCGCCCTTCTTTTCAAAAAAAAAAAAAAAAAATGCAGGCATCCGTTTTAGATATTAGTGTATTAGCGATGTTTTGGAGTTAGTAGCGTCCCGTTCAATGCTTCTGCGACTTTATTTTGCAAAATCCAAATTTCGTTTCAGCACCTTAAGAGCGGCATGTAAAGTTATTTTTGTGAAGCGCCGTCTTAAGAGATAATTTAAGAAAACGACAGGCAAGGCTTACGTCTGGTGAGCGGAATCGGCTGCAACACAAAATGCTTCATCCCCACGTGACCTCAAAACATTTTTAGCGGATATTTTAACCGCCAGGAGAGTCACATTCACCAGCGAATCGGCCTTGGCACTCAGTGGTCGAGGAACCCGTGCCCCGAATGTCATTTTAATTAGGTGACCTAACTTAATCTTCGACGTAACTATCGTCTTCCTGTTGCTTATTCAGAACCAGTCTAGATTTGACGCAGGACGAAAATGTGTGGAGCTGCTTTCTGGGTCTTCTTGCGATGGCACTCTACAGTTCATGCCTCGTTCCTACAATTGCTCAGAGGTACTTGGCCGCAAAAACACTCCGCGATGCCCAAAGGTAAGTCTGAGCCTTCCTAATTACTTCTGTGCGCGTGCTTCCAAGGAGATGCAATAGACATTTTCATGTTTGCAAGCGTCCAAAGATGCCGTGTATGCTTTATTTCTTTCTGACGTTTTTAGAATGAATTACTTCGCAGTCTTCTGATTAAGTCATAATTTTACGCACTAGTTGAACCCTGCCCAAAATAAATTTACCCGAATTACTTGCAAAACTTCTCCCTCACCAATTTAAAAAAAAAAAAAAAAAGTACAGTTTACCGCAAATGAAAACTCTATATTCCCTGAGAGGCTTTGTCAGTGGCTTCACGAGGAGCGGGACTGGTGTCATTAAGGCCGGTTCACACATACAGCGAAGCGCTAAGTTAGCGCTACGTGAGCGCTCGAATGAGCGCTCATGTGGCGCTTCCTAGCACGTGATGTAGCGCTCGGTTAGCGCTTCAGTAGCGCTCTGTTAGCGCTTCAGAAGCGCTTTGTTAGCGCTCTTAGTGCTACAGAAGCGATTTGTTAGTGCCACAGAAGCGCTTTGTTAGCGCTCTCACGCTCCTTGTGCCCTGCTTGCTGCTGCGGAACAGCGCGCGTGCACGGCGATTCCTTTGTTGCTGTCTTTCCTTTGGCATTGAAAGAAGACGAAGTAAAAGAGCCGCTCTCCAAGCAAAGGGTCGGCCAGGCGACCCAGAGTCATGGACTTTGAGCGACTAATTGATTGGGTACGACCTCATCGCTTTCTATTCGATATGCGTGACCCTGGCTTCAAAGACACGCAGTTAAAAATAACCGCCTTCGAAATATCTCTGTGTCTCGGTCCCTCAGCCTGGGAACAAGCTTCACCAGGTACCCGTCAGTATCTCGGTGGCGAAAGATTTCGCGCACCCAGAAGGCTCTTCTGGGCGTTAAGCCGTCCACACTCATATGCACTAATCGCGTATGTAAGCGCATTTGTCGCATTTCTATTTAAGCATGACACAAGTCCGCCATGGTGCTGCTAATGCACACCCAACCACAGGAACCGGAACCGCAGTGCACGCGCTAATCCACAGCACCGCGGTACAAGAGGCGCTACTGAAGCGCTAACACGGCGCAACTGAAGCCCTAACAAGGCGCTACTGGAGCGCTAACAAGGCGGTACTGGAGCGCTAACAAGGCGCAACAGAAGCGCTAATCGCGCGCTGTGTTAGAACTAAGTCACGCACCAGGAAGCGCCACATGAGCGCTGCTTGGAGTGTTCACGTGGCGCTAAGTTGGCGCTCGGCCGTATGTGTGAAGGGGCCTTCACAGGGCTAAATGGAACCAGAAGGCACGATTTCTACATTTTTCGCTACGCATAAAATGCAAAAAAAAATTGGGTTGTGTGTATGTTTATACAGCCTAGAACTTGGTCTGCCTCACAGGGGCGACGAGTCTCCCAGCTGTAGATGAGAAATTTAGCCAGTGCGGTACAGCCGCTAGCCTGGGGTCTTTAACGTGCATCACGCAGTAGTGATACACGACCGCACGCCGGTACGATGCTCATCCAGATCGAAACGGGCAGGGGTGGGGCTCGAACCCAGGATCCCTGGGTTCTGCAGCGCGAGCTTTCGCTCCACGTGCTCCGAGCTGGTGTGCGTTAGACCACTCGGCCACCGATCCCCCCATAAAATGCAACAAAATTCGGCACTGAACCAGCCGGACTGTCATCTTTCAAGATTGGTGGGACTAATAGCTCGTGTATGCATTATTTATTCCTGCGTAAGTGTAACGAGTATGACAAAGCATTGTTGTTACTACCTTAGTTTGTTTTATTATTCATTGTCTTTATTTGATTTTGTATTTTATTGCAGCTTTACACTGTTGCTAAATGACACTGCTTTACGGGATTGACCGTTATCTTCTCTTCTATTCGCCCTCGAGCAGTTTAACTCGAACAGCAACCTCCATCCAGACAGACTTAAAGCAGCGCCATGCCATATGTGTCGCTAATGGACTCCTAGTGAAACGCCGCGAACGCAGCACGCAAGAAAAATACCTAACGTAAGAAGGACACCTGACAACGTGTCCGAGAAGGCTGGAGTAAGTCAAGAAGCCGATTTCGGGACTTTGATTGCCGCGTTTGCATGCCTCTCAAATTGCCTGACCCACTGGAGATAGGGAGAAAGAGTACGGTAAAAACAAAAAAAAAAGGGGGGGGGGGGGGGGCGTGAGCGAGGTTTAGGTAAACATGCATCAGCTATTCATGTTCTATTTTTAAGATGGCTTTCAGATTTGCTTACCCGATAAGCGCAAGAAAATATAGGAGCCGGCAAAACTGTAGCGCGTAAATCACTGCGGCTTTTTTTTTTTTACCTGAGCCTTTTTTTTTTCAGCCGTAAACTACGCAGTGTGACGTCCATAAAAATGCTACAATTTAATTGCAGAAGTTGGCCTGTTGACTTACTTCAGGAGCTTGTTTCTCGAGTACTGTAAACGACTTGATTTTTGTGACGATGTAATTTGCGCCAATTTCGCGACTCATTTGCAAAGAGCGAACTTAGCTGAGGAAAAACTAAAGAAAGAAAAAGGCTTAACTCTTATGGAAACGCAGCGACGCCACCGGTCTTCGAACAACACGGCGCCGTTTCGCACGGGACACATGAGATGGCTCAACGAACGCCGCCAACGAACGAGCATACGGCGCCGAGAGCCAGCGTCTTTAGCAGACAATCTTTTCGACTCAAAAGCGGAGCGCGTTCCGCGGGCGGCGACAGTCGCAGAAACAAAAACAAGCGCGGTAACATCAAGGAACTGCAGTTTCTTGTTTACTAAATACGCCGGCTCTCGGCGTCGTCTGCTCGTTCGTTGGCGGCAGTTGGCGTCGCGACCGCTTGCGCCATCTCTTGTCTCCCGTCCGAAACGGCGCCGTGTCGCTTGCAGACCGGTGGCGTCGCTGCGTCTCCATAGGAGCTAAGCCTTTTTCTTTCTTTTCTTTTTCCTCAGGTAAGTTTGCTCTTTGCAAATTTTACAAAAAAAAAAAAAAATGTGCCCTCTGTGGGCAACGCTGCACAAAGTCGTAGCGCGATAGGTTAAGAAACTGAATTTTCCGGTCGATTTAAAGAGCATGCCGTCTCCTTGAATCACCCTTTGTTATCCTAGGATACAAAGACGCAAAATATATCACACCCAATCGCAGAATTCTATGTCTGCGATATATTCCCTGAGCAACCCTTCGCAAAATTCGCGGAATATTGAGCTCATGAAAATGAAGTCGATTTCAATTGCGTCATCTGGCACACCCCGACGAGGGACTGAGGATTAATTTCTAGCATCTGGGGATCTTTTGGTGTACAGTCAAAATCTCGACTAAGCGGCGCCTTCTCAATTTGCTATAGGCCTCCGTCTGATTTCTGCGGAAATCTCGGTCGGGATTCGAGCCCACTACCTCACACCCGAAGCCCAGTGCATTACCTCAGGACCCAGTAGTTCTATCTTTTTTTTTTTTTTTTGTCCCGTTTTATTTTAAATATTGTATGTTTAGATACCTCAAAGGGATACTACAACGAAATTTCGGCGCTAATTTTTTGGTCTATATGTGTTCAAAATAGCAGTATCACATGGAACATACCAATGTCTTGTTAAAAAAGTCTCGAAAAGGAATTTTAAAACGAATTAAACGATTAGCAAAGAGCACCTGGTGGATGTCACTAACGCCTCGTTTGTAATGCTCGTCTAGGAACCTTGACAGCTAGTGACGGAGGTTGTCTCGTCTCCGGCCACGACGAAAGAAGAGGGGAAAGAGGAACTTCCCTCTTCCCGAGAATGCCTTTTGTGTGTCGCAGAAGTCGCTATTGTCCCTCTTCAAGATTATAGAAGATTAACCCCTCACTCAAAATTCGTACAAAAGCAGCCGCTTCGGTGGCTGGAACGACTAGGCCATCTTCTCGACGTCAGCCTGGCCGTAGCTTTGCTCGTCTTGAGACGACCTACATCACGATTGCGTTGGATGTCACGTGGTCTCTGCTGGGCCTTCTCCGAGCGCTTGCCAGAATGGGCCGTTTATAACGAACACTACAGCCACCAGGCTCAAAATACAAACGTGCTATTGTTATTTACGGATATTGTGGATCATATTCAACCTATTTTTGAACACGACGGGAATATTTCAAATTTCGTTGAAGTATACCTTTAAAATATTCCGTTTCACAGACCGCGAGCTTCCGGTGGTTTCACAAAACAATAAGAATGGCAGCTTTTAACTGCAGGATGTACAAACAAACAGAAGTGTCGCGCAGCTGTAAAAAAGACAACTATACTGAACGTCACAACACATTCGCTCATGGAGAGCACGGCACCATGCTACGTCTACGCGGCGTGCGCTGCCCTCCTCCGAAAACCAAAGAGATATAAAGTTTGAAAAGCGAAACCAGACAAAGACGATAGAAAATAACACAAAGCACAGGGGCAGGCCCTACCCTCAACGGATTCATTGCAAGACCGTTCAACGCTTGTATGCACAAGTCATCCACCCTTTACATATCAAACAATGCCAACAGCCAATAAAACACTTTACCAGACAGCCATCTAGATAGGTCACTTCTTCATCTAGTAGGCTAACAGATGGAGCGCTGACGCACTTGTCATCCTTCTTTTTAATAAAGAAAGCCTCTATATATTCTCCGCTCTTTTTGTTTTTTCGCTTCGTTCAAGAACATCGTTCACTCTAAAAGCGGTTTGCAACCACGCTTACAATGCTCAGACAGATGACCCCCCGAATTGTTGCGTACAGATAGTTTGTGTTCTCTTGCCCTGTCATTGAAACAGCGTGATGTTTGCCCTATATAAACTTTCCAGCAGCCAGGCAATATTTCATAGATGACGTTAGAGACACAGTCAGCATATTGACTTACATGCTTCTTGGAGCACAGAACTTGAGCGCAGCTCTTAGGCGCCAGTTTACGGATTGAGTGGCGTCGGCGTCGGCGTCGCCGGAATT